TTTTTGGGGTTCATCATCTTGTGCAGAGTGTCAAAAATGTCATGTTTTTAATGTATTATTAGCATGTACATGCCTGGATATGAGCGCAATACACACGCAAGATGAGAATATATGCGCGCATATATACGACTACTTGTGCGCAGGATTTTCGCAGGTGAATATGTACCATTTGGAACCCATTCACAACAGCATATAAATGATGTACACATTTCGATTTGTGTGATTGGCATATATGTACTGTTATATTTTAGTGTCTGTAGATTTATCAGTTTTATGATTTTGGCCAGGATGTTTGCATTGCTGTATGTGGATTAATTCTACTCACTTGATGCAGGATTTGAACCGGGGAACATAGGTGTTGTGTGGCAGGTCCTCTAACCGCTCAGCCACTTGGCTTCCCTTTGCTGGTGGTTGTTGCACATCCCTATTGAATCCTCGGCATTTTAACACGCCATGCGCGCGCGTTAGTAGTATTTATCAAGCATCTGTATAACCTGCATACGCTTCCGCGCCAAGCGTATACGCGCACGCGCGCGCGCAGTCGGCGTGTTTTTGCATGGCGTGTTTGTGACATGTTTGTGAGGTTAGTAAATCAACCCCATTGAATCAAACAATCACTTCTACTAAATTTTGACAAAACCTTGGCCAATGCTTGATGAAATACAGCTGGGCTTAAATGTAGTCCCGGTGGCAATCTTGTAAATACATATTGCTCATTTTGAAAAGTAAAAGCAAATTTGTAGTGACACACCTCTTTGTCAGAGGTATAGAAAAAAAACCATTAGCAATGTCAATTACAGAGAACACCTTTGCTTTAGCATCCAACCTTGACATGATATCAGGAGTTTCAGCAACAATAGGGGCACAATGTGGGGTGTATTTATTCAGTATTCTGAGATCAATCAAAGTCTGAATGCACTAGGATCATCTCTCTTAGCAACTACACACAGAGGATTATTTGTCACCAAATTTGCTTTCCTAATAATCCCTTGCTGAAGAAACTCTTTTATGATAATTGATACTGGTTCAATGGATTCTGGAGGTAATTTGTATTGCTTTTGAGCCGGTGGGTCTCTTCCTTCTATGTTTACTTCAATGTCTTTGAATAAACCCGCTTCATTTTTACCTTGGCTCCAAAGATCTTTATATGATTGCACCAACTGTTTCAATTCGAGATTGTCACCCGAATCTGGCCATCTATGGTCTGCTGCAATCATATCTGCCACACAAATTTTCAATAGCCATATCATTAATAAAATCCATTACTCAGCAACTTTTAGACGAAGTCCTTACGAACTGGATCAGTCAGCTTCTTGGCTGAAAACGCATCCAATCACCTTCTTACTATTTAAGATTCACCGATTTTGTTTCCGGAACTTGCATCAACTTTTCACTTCTTCAATTCCCCCGTTTAAGCAAGAGCAGGAAACCGATAAGAATGATGCCCAGAAATATGGAAACTTCGGAGTGGTTGGCTCACCAATAAATGTTAGAAATTAGTATTTCTCGACTGACACTTACGATTTAAGTGTCGTAAGGTGATTAATCTTCATCAATGAATGTCCAGTTGTAGAGTGAAAAACTTGTGACTTTAATTGTATAATGGGAAGTCACAGCAGCATACAATTATATTGCAAAAATATAATATACAAATAGATAGTTCAAAGTATATAGTTAATGCAGAGTTAAAGAGCTAGTCACCTCGTGTTTGTCTGAAGGGTTCAGCCAAAATAGTCTTCTAGCAGGTGGAATAACAAAGTCTCTTCTTCAAATGGGCGTGTTAGAATTCTCTTCTTGTGTGTGTGTAAGTTCATTCGTGCGGCCCCCTTAGTGTATGTAATGAAGTGTGTCACCCTCCCAGTGTGAAGTCCCCTGCCGCTTATATTCCAAAATCGACGTTAGTGATTGGTTTATCCTATAAGGCCATATATAGTGTAAGCATATTCTTAACTTATTTCTGACGTCACGACTCCCATACTTCTCTATATGGTGTGACCAAAACTACTTTAGTCATCATTTCTAAATGTCATACTACAACTCTATTTTGAATAAGGACAGCCTTCTATTTACATGACATGTTTCGAACAGCTGCTTAACTCTTTCAGATAGTTCTGTACAAATTCTGACATAGCTTCAGGTTTCAAGGACAGTGGATGCCTGTTCAAAGTCATTCATTCATAAGCACGAGGTCTGTAAATATATGTGCATGGGCCCATACTATAATTCCCTTTAAGCCGAATCAAATTTGAATCTAAGTATTTTACACACGATATTCTAATTATTCGAGTTTCACCTGTATACATTACCACTAATCATGAGAAAACCTTTGCACTTGGGATTAGTGGAGAAACATCAATTTCAGAGATAGTGAGCCACTTGTCTTGGATTGTCAGACATCAATATATCTTTATCTCCTTGAGACAATAGACTATAGAAATATCTTTCTACATACGTTGAGGATGTGGTAATTTGTGCATAGAGAATAAGCCCCCTGCCCACACCCCCACAGCCAACGCCCCATGGATTGTGAGGAAGAGGCCCTTGTCCCCATCGGCACGGGGGTGAGGTGCTTTTCCAGGGGCAAAACCCTGCAAAAGCACCCTCCCAGTGGCGGGCGCATGTGGCCTGGTATCGCAGGAAGAGAGGGGGACGCTCTCTCGTCCCCCCTTTCCTGCCCT